AGATGCTTCAGAAGCTAACTTTGATCTTAATTTTTGTAATCCTTAACCGAATAAAATCGAATTACCTTAATATTTTTTTTCTAATGTAATTAACGAAAACTTGTGAAAATATTTCATTCAAATTAAACCATTCTGGGCAAACTGTTCTGTGAAAAGTATAGTATTTAATTCCATTCAGAATGAAATGTTGTTTAAACATTTTATTTTTTAAATAACATTTCATTCAGAATGGAATTAAATACTATACTTTTCACAGAACTGTTTCAAAGAACTTAGGACTCTGAAGTATTGTAGAAAAAGAAAATATATACATTTATATGTATATTTATGATGTACTTACAAAATATTTACATCCCATCGTGCCAAAACCCATCGAACTTAATGGTAATGGTAAAATACCCAATGTTTTCGTCACGAACGAAGGGATCGGCAGTGCTTCAAAGCAGGGTATTGGGGAAACCGGTTAGAGCCAAACCATCTTACTACCTCCTTGGTATAAAGGTGTATGGTATTAACTAATGCACAAAGTTTGTCTCTGCTGATACCAGTCTCTCGGGATGCTGTAAAAATTTTATGTTTTTCTGTGATGTATGTTTTTGTTCCAGAACATCACATAGCTTACAGGTACAAGAGGATGAAATAAATGGTACTTACCTGTATGTTTTACTGGAATTGGGAATTCCCATATAGCAACAAGGGCAAGATAAATTAAATTGCCACTTTAGTAACTAGACTAAAACTTATAGATGTTAGTTTTATTAATTAAAAAACTGAAGATATTAAGCTTATTTAATTAGATATTTTGAACATTATCTCAGAAGAAATCTTTTGCATACTGTAGAAATTTCTTTTATGTTTCTAAAATAATTAATTAGCAATTTATTTGAATACTAATAACTTTTCATATTTAATTACTCCATGTGTTTGCATGTTAATGTTTTAGCTTGGGAAGGTGATATAAATGTTATAAAAATATTTAATCTCTTTTTGGTTTCACCCAGGATTGTGAAAAGGGAACTTGTATTTATATTGCAATAAATATGATTTTCTCACTTATATATATGTATATATATATATATTTAGTTTTGAATTTTAATATAAGAGTATCCAAACTTTGATAGGCAAAAACATACATTACTCAAAATTGAAAATGCAATGCCAAGAAGGATTGGCCAAAAAGTGATGAAACTCAGCAAACAGAGAGAGAGAGACAGCAATGAACAATAAGTGATCTTTATTTTAAAATGATATGCATAATACAGAGGAAGAATAGTATCAGCTCAGTAGGTTGTAGGACCACATTGGATGGTAATACATGAAGCAGCATGTCTAGGTACAGAGACTATGGATGTAGTCCTGATGAATAGCTCTCCATACTTTGTCAACCATTTTCTACAGTTCATCTGAACATGGCAATGGCAGGGTGTGCAAATGGTGTTTGATCACATGTTCAATTGGTAGGAGATCAGGAGAAAATAGTCGCCAGGGAAGCATCTGAACACCTTGCAGAGCATATTGGCTGATGCAAGCAGTGTGTGATTGAGCCTTATCCTACTGATAAAAGACATTGGGCACTCTCTGAATGTAGGGGAGAGACCCCGGCTGCAGCACACCATCCACATATCACTGGGCCATCATAGGGCTCTGAATACGAACTAGAGGTGACCTGGAATTGTAAGCAATTTTGCCCCAAACTTATGGCCAAACTGTATATATATTATACTGCCCAAACTGTATTATTGTAACTATTGTGCCCCAAACTATGAAGCCGCGTTGTCGGCTTCATAGTTTAAATGAATTGCTGACGTTCCACTGTTCATTCAGAATTCTACCTGTCTCCACTTCTACGCCGCACTCATATGCGGCAACTATCATTGGAGAAACAGAAGCATGATTCATCTGAGAACATGATCCTGTGCCATTCCGTCGTCCACATTGCTCGAGCCCCGCACCATTGCAGACGTTGGCGTCTGTGATGTGGAGTCAATGGCAGTCTTCTTAACAGGCATCACGAGTGCAGGCCACTATCCACCATTTCTCAGCAAATAGTTCAGGTTGATATGGGAACATCCAGGGTGTCTTGAATATGCTGCAGAATGGAGGTAGCAGTGGCTTGTGGATGCATTGATCCACACAGTGTAGATGTCACTCTGGCTGCATCTGCACCCTTTGAATTTGCCACATTTCCTTATTTCAACCATCATTGCCACAGCCAGTGCACTGTGGACACATCTTAGGTGTGTGTGTCTCAGCTGAGATTTGCTCTGTGGAACAATCTGCCCTTCTCAGTCCGATCACCATGCTCCTCCATAAAATCGTCTGTCTGCTGGAACTGCCTCCATTGACAGCAGCCGGGTACTCTCTACTATTTACATGCATCCTTTGAGACAAGAACAAATTTTCTAAGATGATTTCCCTAGCAGAAATAACATCATGAAAATTGAACATTCTGCAGGTTCCTTCCCTTATATCTTCTTCAATGTGCACTGGAGAGTTTAACTGTGCATTTCACATCATTTCACATCATTTACATAATTCTGTGACGTGCATCTACCCTGAAATTTGCATGATTTTGGGGCCTCTCCTTCTTGGTGTCGCATTCTCAATGTCAGGTAGTGTACATATTAGTCCTGAAAGCCCTATAGTTTAAATCAAAAGGGGAGAAAACTGTATTAATGTATTTTTAGAGCAATTTTTTTTCATTATTTCAAAATGGATATGGCAGTGATATTTAATATTATTAATTAATTATGACCTCAATACCGGTCAGCATGAGAAGTTTTATTATAGTTGGACATATATAAGAAATTGGAAAGCTTAAACAGAGTAGTGGGGAAAAAATGAATGCACCAAATAAAAGCACTAATCAGAACTCAGATTAATGTCTGAAAAATTCAGAGAAGCAGTAAAAGGCTTATAATAATTCTGTTAGAATAAGCTTAGATTTAAAAGGACATTTAATACACCTAATTAATTATTCTTCAATTTATTATGCAACAACTGGATAAAAACAATAACAACAATCCTCAAATCTTACTTTTCTCTCAAGATTATTATCTTTTTCCCCCAGATGACTTGTGATTCAGGTCTTAATGCAGTCTAAAATATTCTCATATGAACATAATTTTATGCTCGTAAATGTAACTGATACGTTTTAGTAGTAAAATAGTGAAATTGTAGTCTTATAGGGTTTTATAAGGTCTTATAGGTCCTACTTTTTTTTAAAAAAACTATGGGTAATACTATTTAATGGAGACTGAATAATTGTTTTTTTATGATATATAACTATTTATGTGCTAATTTTCTGAATAGACGGAAAGTCTATTCAGAAACATAACTCAGTCTAATTTTGTAATTCCATAATAATTTCAAATAATTTTAAATATACCTAATTTAATGGGCTATGTAACAAGATAGGTTTTAATTAAATGAAGGAAGTAATTTTATGCATGATTGAAACTTAACTACTGAAAATTAACAATTCTTAGATCTTTCCATTTTAGGGCAACATGCAGCCAACAGTTTTCTATACAAAGGTACTTACACCAACATTATTTATTGGCAATCATTAAATTAAATTTTTTATTCTTATCTCAGAACAATATTCTTGCTTTTATATTCTTGCTAATTAAAAGTTTTTAAAGCATATCAGTCTATTTCATTCTTTTTTTATTTAAATAACTAATTTATGAGATATAGTGTTTATGTTTAGAAAATTTTCACCACTGTAAAAACAAGTTGTTGATGAAAGTATATTTTCTCTCTGGAAATATCAACTTGGCACATATACCTTTCTAGGGAAAATGTTTTGCTATAATGGGAAAGATCTCATTTCTTTAGTAATTATTAATGTGATTTAAATTATTACATATGGAATTATGAAATTGTTCAAAAGACATTTGAAAAATGTTTTGAAAATTCTAATATTTTGATGAGATTTTATTTAAATGCAGACCTGCTGTTAAATTTGATACTTGATATATTGATTTAAAAGTGCTTTGCAGAATGACTGTATTTTTATGTGATTTTTATTCTGCTTGAAACTTTCTATTGAAAATAATGATTTTATATTTTAACATTATTAATATTTTATATTATTTTTTTTTTTTTTTTTTTTTTTTTTTTTTTTTTTTTTTTTTTTTTTTTAGTTTATATATTTATATTATATTATATATATTTATATATATATTATATATTTAAATTATAGTATTTATTATAAAATATACTGAAAACTAAATTGTTTTCAGTATATTTTATAAGAATTATGTTTGTATGTGGTATAATAAATGTAAAGCATTTTATTGACACCTCATGTTAATAGAACTCTTTTTTTTTATGAAGTTTTTTATCTTCTTATATTGCATATCTTTCTCATAAAAGTGTAATTAAATAGTCTTACAATCTTAAAAACAGTATGTGTACTATAAGTTTCTTATAATGAAATAGTTATTCAGTTGCTTTTCTTTCTAATAGTAATGACATATACACTTACTCATATAATGAAATACTGTACAACTGTCCTCTTCTCCAAATTTTGTCTTTGTTAAATATGCATAAAATGTATCATAAGCATGCATTAATAGTTATTAGAGTATGTTAGTTTTTAGTTTGTTAATTAATTAATTTTTGACAGGAATACATTTTCAAACTTAAGGAACAAAGAAGCTGGGTTTACATTTTGTTAAAATTTTTAATTTTCAACAACTCTGCTATATCCTCTAATTTGTAACTGTGCACGATGGATGTAAATACTTCCTTCCTTTTTTCCAACTTTTTCTTTCAATTTAAAAGTTTAAAAAAAATTCCAGAAAACAGTTATGAAGTTTTCAGATTTTATTGGGAAGTTGTTAAATTTAGCCTTAAGTTGCTAATTTAGCAGAATTCCTGTATCAAACTTTTTTGTGTGTGTGCTTCTGATTCACATAATAAATTGTTTAAATTTTGATAATGGAAGTTTAATTTATGAAAATAGAGTGGTATCATTTTGTAATTATCAATAGGGTCAAAACAAAACTCAAGCAAAAAGGAAATATTTATTAGAAGCTTATGGTACACCATATAAAGACCCTATTGTAATAGATCAAGACACAAAAGAGCATTGGCTTGCACTCGAATATTATGAACCGCATACTACTGTTATGACAGTTGAATTTAATGCTGATGATATAGTTATATTAACTCCTGGGTAAGTGTTTTATTATTTAAAATAAATGTTCTCATAAAAAAAATGTATGAACAAGAAAGTAAACTATTTCAGGTGAATGTGGTGTGATTAGAATGTTCTAGTATTATCAAGTAATGATCCTTTTATCCGAAGAGGGGGGGGAACTGGTAAACCTGCTTAATATCTCATAGGGCCCCTGCTTGCATGCAGAAATGCTGCAACAGAATGTGGCATGGACTCGACTAATGTCTGAAGGTGTGCTAGAGGTAATTCACACCATGAATCTTGCAGGACAATTCACAAATACATAGGCTTGCAAGGTGGAAGAGATCTCTTCTAAACAGTACGTTTTGAGGCATCCAAGATATACTCAATAATGGTCATGTCTGGGGATCTAGATGATCAATGGACATGTCAAGTCCTGGTGCCACTTGGCAGCAACTCTTGATGTGTGGGATGTCGTAGGATGTAGGGTCCATGGATTCATGAGGTTGTCTCCATACCCGTACACATTCATCCACCCAATACAACTGTAAATGAGACTCGCCAGACCAGCAATATGTTTCCAGTCATCAACAGTCCAATGGCAAATATAAAGCATTCTTATAGAGGCTTTGCAATCTCTATAAGAAATGACATGATTTTCTGAACAGAAAATGCAAATAGGTTTTTCCTCTGGTTTTAATGAACATGTGTTAGATATGTTGCTTTTACCACACTTGCAGCAACATACTTTTTCATAACAACTATGTTGCAAATGTCTTTACTCTTGACAATTAAAACATTTTATAGGGTGTTTATTTGGCATGCATTTGTCGAAAATGATGTTAAAGTTAAAAATATTATTTAGTTTGTAAATTCCTTCGCCTGCAGCATTTCTTTTCAACTTTAAAAAGTAGATCGAGAGATGAATAATTTATTCATTCTGCTTTTTTTTTTAATTGCTTTAATTTAATGATGGCAAATTTTTGCATTCAAGATCTTAAAAGATTGTTTCTTTGGTTACTGAGCTCGGTATATTCTTTAGAATTACTTTGATTGTCGATTCTGAGCTGATTTGTTAAGTATGAAAATTAATGTGAGCTTTCTGAAAATTTTGTATTGCAGTTTTATAGTCATCAAGAGTTATAGTATGAAGAAAGGTAGATCTAGCTTTCATTTCTGCTTTGTACTGACTTTTACATGTTTCTTTTAACATCCTATACTCTTAAGAACCAGTCTGCATTTTCTTCAATGATTACTATTGGTGGAATTTTTCCCATTTTTTTGTGCATTTTCAACTCATATGTTTTTAAGGAATTTATCATTTTCATTCTGTTGAATTTTAAATCTATTGCTATGGGTGATTTCAGTTTCAGTGAGAAATTTTTCTGGAGATTTACAAGTCCGTGAAGAGATAATCCACCGATTTTTTGGGATATCTTCTAAGAAATTATTTGTTGCCTGAGTGATACTACTGTTTTTCTTTGCTTCTTATGCTAAACTTTCAGTAAGATTCAGGAAGATATTTTTATGCAGTTCAAGTACTGAATTGAAATCTGGAGTTGTGTCCTTAATTTTTCTGATCTTCGATCTGTAGTTGAGAGGGATTTTCATAGGTCTGTGCAGTCCTAGCCATTATTGTGTGCATGCCTTGATAAGCTCTAATTATTGCTTCCTGGCCACCTTTAAGACTAAATCGAGAAAAGTCCAACCTATGGGGTGTGTTCCAATTCTGAGTCACTATTCATGTAATCTATGGCTAGGGTATGCCAAGGAATCTTATCCCTAACAGGTGGAGCATTGTTAGCCATTTGATAAGAAAAAACAAAAAGTAATATTTACCATATTCTGAGAGGAGCAGTCTGAAGTGTTGTACGTAATGAAGCGACACTGAATCTCAAATAGAGTGAGATGATCATAACTGTACCAGACATTTGTTGCCTTTGCCTTATATAGGGGCTGTCAACTGCCATGCTTTACTGTGATTGGTTCCACACCTCTGTTATTTGCATATGTATGCCTATACTGTTTTTTTTGGAGGGCTCTTCAATGTATATTTATTCATATATTAGTGTGCCTGATGTTTAAACTATTTAATTTTTCTGTATTATTTAGGCAACAAGCTGAGATACTGAAAGTGGTCTCAACAAGCTTGCAGAAAAGGATTGTAATTTATGTTAGTGTTCATAACACAGGCCTTTCACCTGCTAAATTTTCAGTCCGAGCTGTTAAGTGTGGGTTTCAAGTACCTGACTCTAACAACTTGACACTTCTTGTACCACCTCAGCTCACTGAAGAATTTGTGCTGTCTACAAATCCTGGCTCTATTCAGTTGAATGAAAAATTTACATGCTCAGGTTGTTTTACCATATCAAGTATTATTTTTACTACTTTTAAGTGCTTTGTTATATGATTTTCAATTATGCTTTTTAGATATGAATTAAAATGCATATAATCTTATTATGAATGCTAGCTAAGCATTTATCAGGAATATCCAAATGCATTAATAATTTAGCTATCTGTTCATCAAAAATGCTGCCTATGCCACAAGATTGATTAATATTATATCTTCAAGAAGAAGGTTAGACACACACACACAAAAAAAAAAAAAAAAAAAAAAAAAAAAAAAAAAAAAAAAAAAAAAAAAAAGAAAAAAAGAAAAAAACTATGCCTTCTCTGAGATTTAAAACCAAACCCAATGATATAGCAGCTAGCTTTGCTAACCAGCATATTGACGAGGACAACTCATTCTTAATTTTGTTTTTAATAAGGGCTGTAAATATTTCTCTGAATATTCTATTTTTAAAATGACAGTTTAAGAGTCTCTCTCCTTCCCCTCTCCCCAAAAAGTAAAAATATTGTGATTAAAATACAGAACTACTAAGCAGATTAGATTGAAAAAAAAATGGAAATAGAAAGTAGTCAAGTAATTTTGCTGTGAAATTCAAAGTTAAAAACAAATTTTAAATGCCAGTAATTGAAAAGATTTGTACAATTTTTGCAAAACTTAGTATTAAGCCATAATATCAAACTGCAGTCAAGTACCAAGTTTTAAGGAAGTTGGGAAAAGTAGGAAGGAAATGATATGACATATTAAAAAAAGTCCGAACTTTGTATAAAAAAATGTGGTAGTTCAGTACTACATTAAAAATAGGATCTGTAAATGTTCTATAAAAATCAGTCATCCTTTCGAAGTATGAAAAAGGTATATAAATTTTGTTTATAATGTGATTAGAATGGCAGGTATGAAACTTGTCCACTTTTTTTCATTTGCATAGTGTACATATAATGTAGAAAAACAAAATATTTATTCAATGCTTAATTTATATTATGCAGGTTGATGTATAGTTCACATTTAATGGTCCTTTACGATTCCCTATTCACAGTGGGAGAAATTAATTTTAAAATATGATGCCCCTCTGTTTAAAAAAAAAAAAAAAAAGTTTCCATTGATATAATGAATTAATCAGGGTGCAGTTTATATCTGTTTTCAACAAAATAATGGAATATATAATAGTGTTGCGTGTGTACGGGTTCGTTATGAAATGAATGCACAAGTCCGATGAAAAATGAACAAAAATTTATTATTATCACAACAAAAATGCTTAAATTTTCTCAAATTATCATGCAGTATTACAATATCTCACAGTAGTTATCTTTTAACTACTCAAATGTCCAATAGAACGTAATTCAAAACAGCTAAAGAAAGCTAAGCAGCAATTACTGCAAACTGAGAGGTTTTCCTCCTTTTATAAGATTTTTAAATCGCGTGCGAGAATTTTCTGGTACTTTCTCGAAGTTAAATGCACGTGCTCTTGTATTTTTAATTTTCCGGCTTAGCTTTCTTCTTTTAATATTCGTCATGCGCTGCACTGCGCTGGAAATAAAACCATTTAATTTATAATTGAATTAACATTAGCTTTTTAAATACCAAATTCGTAACACTGCCCCTTTTCCAAGGACTGCACGTCCCGGGCAGTACAATCCCTGGACAGGAAGCTAAACTTACAACTGTGGCATAAATGCATTAATAAGCATTACATTACAATGATAAACAACATGAACAATAAATGCAATAAATAAAACAAATCAAATGCTATCAAATACAAATCAAATACTAAATGCAAATCAAATCAAACACACATTTAAAAACAGAAAGAACCTTGGTTTTATACTATTTACAATTATTTACATTACGTACTATGGCCATAGTAATGAACTAACCTGTCGTAATGAACGACTTAAAGTTTAGAGTTCGAAGACTTACGAATCCGAACCACGACGTCATTCAGCCTGTTCAGCACTGTATATGGACCATACGAAGGTGACTGTAATTTAGGACTGAGTCCTTTTCGTTGAATCGGGTTCCACGACCACACCTTGTCTCCTTTGTTGGATCTATGTCTAGTAGCTCCCGTGTCGTATCTGGTCTTCACTTTCTCTGTCGCCAAGTTGACTCGCTTTCATGCAGAATGGTGCATCCTCTCAAGCAATGAAGGCGCATCCGTAGGGCAACCAAACAGGCGGTCACAAGGCAGACGAAGGTCTCGACCGAAGAGCTTCTGGGATAGAGAATAGCTGGTAGTCTTGCGTTTCTTTTCAACCCTAGCATGATTTCAGCGGCTTCCCGAGCTGGGTCTTTCGGACAAGGCGTCGGCATTTCCAGGTGAGGATCTCTTCTGAGGATGGATAGTCATGTCACCAGATGCTGAAAGCAGCTTCTTGTTTTTGAAGTCTAAGGAAAAATTGTATTTCCTTAAAAAGTCCAATCCGAGTATGCATGGATCTGTAATATCCGCCACATAAGCCGTGTGATGATAGGCGGTACTTCCAAACGTGATGCTCACGTTTAACTTCCCAGTTATGTCGATCTTATCACCAGATGCAGTTTGAAGAGTAACACAGGATGGCATCCAAATAAGTTTATCTTTAAACTGTTCAGCTAAATCTTTCCTAATGATGGTAACATTAGCTCCTGTGTCAATGATCATATTGCAAGAAAACTCCATCGAAATATTCCCATTGATGGACAGTTCGTTACTGTTTGCCACTTCACTGTAGAAATCTTGAGCGCTTTAAAACAGGGTTTTTTATTTATCTGGCAACATCCGTTCCTCGATATGGTCATTAATTTGTTTCCTGCGTCGTTGCTTGGGAAATGGTCTCAATTTTCGTTACCCTGGGGTGTTCTGCAATTCCTTCGTACATGGCCTTCAGCTCCACAGTTCCAGCACTTTCGTTTCTTGTCACTCCTTTTTCAGTCCCATGGCATTTAATTGTCTGTTTAACCCGCTTCTCTTATTTTCCGTGCTCTGGGGTGTTCTGCAGTTCTTTCGTATGTGGCTTTCAACACCGCAGTTCCAGCACTTTAGGGTTAGTTTCTTCACACCAGTATTCCATCTCAAAGCATTCACTGGTCTTATCAAATCATCTGCTTTATTATCCGTGCCCTGGAGTGTTCTGCAATTCCGTCAGCGACCTTCAGAACCACATCTCCAACACCTTAGAACCACTTTGTTATCACTGCTACTCCGTATCAAAGCATTGATTTGTCTGGATAAATCATCTAGACGAGCAGTGACCTTGATCCCCTGGCTCCTGGACTTGAGCAGCTCTGACTGGATGGCGGTCTTGACGGGTGGCTTGCTGTGCTGCCTCAAATTTCATGGCGTACAACAGAGCGCTTTTTACATCTTTAACACCCGGAATTCGCAGTGCTTTCTGTATTTCAGGGTCCCGGATGACATCGATGAAATATTGCAGCGACAGGATTTTTCTTGTTTCTGTCGGGCACTCCGAAAAGGCGTGATGTGACAGCCTTTCAACATCCGTGGTGAGCTCCTGAAGTGTTTCGGTGGGCTTCTGCTGACAGGATTTTAGTTGAAGCCTGCTGTAGTCTTTTAAACACTTCTCTCCAAAGCGCAGCTCCAATGCGCCGGATAGAGCTTCGAAGTCTAAGCTCTGGTTTTCGGGAAGAGTCTGCAGGATATCCGCTGCGTCTGCTTTCAGAGAAGCGGCGAGATGACAGACTGTAGTTTGGAAATCCCATCCATTCACATCCACAACGATAGAAAATTGTGTCTTATACACATGCCAGGAGGTCTTCCCATCATATGTAGATAGTTTCAGAGAGGGACGAGCAGGCATTGATAAAAATTTAAAACCGTCCGAATTGCTCCATGCCGTCGCTACGAATTTCTTTAAAGTTTCCATTTCTTTGGCAACTGCTAAAACTCTGTCATCAATTTGTTGTTCGATTTGGTGTTGGACGGCACAAACTCTTCCTTCAATTCGTTCCGCCACAGCAGAAACTCTCCCTTCTATTTGTTCTTTGACGGAGGAGACTCTTTCTTCAATTTCTCCAACCTTACTTTCGACCAAGTCTATTCTACCTTCTATAGCCTCGAATTTGTTTTCTATTATGCAGGTAATTTCTCTTTTCATTTCCTCTTGACCTGCTTTCATCTCGTCTCTAACAGATTTCATCTCGTCTTTAACGGATTTCATCTCTCTTTGACGAATTCCTGTCCCGCTTTCATTTCTTCCTGTCCTGCTTCAATCTTTTCCTGTACGGATTTTTGACCAGCATCCATTTTCTCTTTAATTTCTTCTTTAAAAGATGTTTGGCCAACTTCCATCTTTTCTTGGAACGCAGCAAAAACAGTAATGAGCTGTCTCAATTGTTCTTCCGTCCCTCTTGTTATTGGCATTCAAATCCCACTTCTGACACCAAAAATTGTTGCATGCATAAGGGTTCGTTATGAAATGAATGCACAAGTCTGATGAAAAATGAACAAAAATTTATTATTATTACAACAGAAATGCTTAAATTTTCTCAAATTATCATGCAGTATTACAATATCTCACAGTAGTTATCTTTTAACTACTCAAATGTCCAATAGAACGTAATTCAAAACAGCTAAAGAAAGCTAATCTGCGAATTCGCTACAATCAACAAGAGCAGTTTTCTAAACAACAACAAACTAAACAGCAACTACTAAAAACTGAGAGGATTTCCTCCTTTTATAAGATTTTTTAAATCGCGTGCGAGAATTTTCTGGTACTTTCTCGAAATCAAAAAGACATATTTATTTACTTAATGTTAAATGCACGTGCTCTTGTATTTTTAATTTTCCAGCTTAGCTTTCTTCTTTTAATATTCGTCATGCGCTGCACTGCGCAGGAAATAAAACCATTTAATTTATAATTGAACTAACATTAGCTTTTTAAATACCAAATTTGTAACAATAGTATAGTTTTTATCATAAGGTATGTGTATTGTTTTATTATTATTATAACGAAGGTTATATGTATTTAAATCAGAGATTCCGAAATTTTGTGTCCTGTAGACCACTTGCCAATTTTTTTCTGTTTTTCGTAGATCCCTTTCTAGGGGTCATTCCAAAACCAGTCAAGCAGGATAATATTTATGCTCAAGGGCTCCCAAACAGAGTAAAATCATGGGCAAAGTTTCACCCAAGGTGTTTCCAAACATTTGTGAAAGCAAAATGTATGGAAATGTCATGGGAAAATGTGAAATTTACCTGACTGTGATACCTGTTAGGTGAAAATTGTTCACACTGGTTGAGTAATTGCACCTATAATGCAACCATAATATTGAATTTTAAAAAATTCATCAACCTGAAATGTGGTTTTATAGGTGACCCAAAGTAACTCACACTGTAAACTGGAAAATTTTAAAATAAAAATAAATGAATAAATAAATAAAATTCTTATTCATGTAGCTTTTTAATCAAAGCGACTCAAAATTCAAATCTAGTAATATTCTTGCATTAAGATTAATACAAAAAACTCAATGCTTTTAATTGGAGGGATGAACCTAATGCTTTAACAGCAAAGATTTAATACATTTGTCTTCAAATTAGTCAGGCTTAACCTTAAGTCAGCCAATGATTTTGTCTGTTTCATTTTTCCCTCCCTTTTTTGGGGAAGGGATATTGGCAATCGCACTGAAACCCCTTTCCACAAGGAAAGGAGATGGAAAAGTTATCAAAAACTTTTTTGCGATAATCCATAATGCAGGATAAGTAATCGGTATGTCTGTCTGAACTCAGAATTGCTGATAGCACTTTTTAAACCATGTGTTCTTTGCTAGTGCTTATTGCATCAGTTCTTCTCAGAGCCTGACTTTCTGTTTCTCAATGCCACTGTATGGATTGATAATCCACTGTGGTACTTCCATAGTCAAAGCATCCTCAAACCTGGTTTTAAAGTCTGTGTGAAGGGCATTTAAATGTTGAACATATCCCGAAACATCATCATCCTGGCAATTTGCTATATAGTTGGAAAACTGGGAAAATTCCCACCATTCAGTGTGTTGTTTCAGTAAGTCTGGCAAGAAAAGCTATAATTTTGTACTTAGTTTCTGTCAAATTTAGATTATCACCTTATAACTGCAAGTTAACATAATTAAATTAGTAAATAAATAAGTTAAATAACCATTGGATTAAATTTTCTTTTTAAATGAGACCTTTAGCATCTAAAAACTCTAAAACAGTCTCAAAAATTACAAAAAATCAAATTTGTCAAAAGGCTTATGTTTAAAGACAGCCAATGTACTTCATGTGAAAGAGTAATTGATGAAATTTCTCATCATTTTCTTCACAAAACTGCACGCATAACGTAGAATTCAGCGCGTTGTTCCGAATTTTGTGTACTGCACTTAAGAGGAATTGAATCTTCCTCTCAGACTTTTAGCAACTTAATGTTGTTGATGGGTAACACAGTGAACTGCAAACACCCTTGGTATATTTTGTTTTAAATAGCTTATAAAACTGTGATAGTGCCCAAACATGACAGGTGCTCCATCTGCTGCTGCTGACCTCGTATTTGATAAAGGGTCACTTTTTCCATGGAGTAATCTCTCAAAATATAAAATATTGATTCAACTTCATTATCTATTGTTAGTGGTCTCACGAAGAACAGTTCTTAGTTCATAACATAGCAAACATATGCCACTATAGTGTTTCATTACCATATAAAGTTGATTCGTCCAACTGCATGGAGAAATGGGTCATTTGCACATAATTACACAAGAAACTTTCAACATCATCACCCATTTCATCAATACATCTTTGAACTGTGTTGTTGCTCAAAGGAATTATTTTGAATATGTCACATTCAGGTTTTTGTAGAACAGTTTTTGAAACTTCTTCAATGGCTGGAAAAATTAGCTGCTCTTTGATAGAATGCAGCTTTTCTGATTTTGTTATGAGTAGTGAAATACTGTAACATGCCTGCAAAACCATCATCTCTTTTTGATGTCGAAGTAAACATACTATCCACTGTAGGTCTCTTCTGAAGTCTTTCTTTCAGTGCTTGAAACTGTTTCAAGAGGATGTTACCCTGATCTATCAAGGTGACATTCTCTTGGATGATTTTCCAGCTTAGGTGATTTAATAGAGCCATTGCTTAAAACTTCATTGCATAAAAGACACTTGGACAAGTATTTGTCCAATGATGATGGAATGAAGCCGAACTATTTACCTTGCATAAAAGTGTTAAAAAAAGACAAATTGGAAATCCAGCCTTATGTCTACAACAAAATATCCATTAAAAAAATGAGATGTTAACTACTGAAATTGGTTAATTATTTGTAATGCAAAAATTTATATTGGTTTTCAAAGAGGGATAATTTAGTCATCACAAAACATAAACAATTCTCAGAACTAGCTTTGTTGTTACTTTTAGACATATCCTCTTTAAATTTTAGAAATTACTTGGCATTTTAAATATGATTAGTGTCTCTGCATAATCAGAGGGGCTAAAAAAAAAGTGCCCATAGTTCAAAGAAGATAATTTTGATTTACTTTAATTTCTTCGTATCTAACTGCTTATTTTTATATTTCTGAAAATATTTGCTTCTCAAAATTCAGAAAACAAATGCAGTGTTTGTCTCTGATACTCATATTTATAATTGATGAATTAAACAATTCTGTGCGAACACAAGTAGTTCAAGTCCGTGCCATCCCTGCAAAGCTCTGGTACATGTCTGGTGCTACTGCACATATACCATAATGCATTGCTACTGGTATTAAATGTACAACTTTTTACAAGTGCTGTAACCACAAAATAAATAGGTGCCTACTTACACAAGTTTATGAAATATACTTAATTAGTTTATAGGCCTATTAGATAAGTAAATATTATGTAAGTATATATGTAAAATCTGTGTTAGGTGCGTTATGTCATTCATGAAACATCTGAATTTTGGTGACAACCTACTTAAATATGATTGAATCTTGTGAACCCCTGATTACATCTCCTGCACCCCCAATTTTTTCTTTCATTGACATGGACCCCATGCAAGTCGGAACAGACTGCTGAGAGTCCATATAGACCACTTTGGGAATATCTGCCTTAAACAGAGATGAAATGTGTACCTGATGTTCATTACTGTCACTAAAAGGAAATATATTTGCAGTTCAAGTTAACAATGCCTTATATGGTGTGGTTGCAAAACGTGATGTAGCAATAAAGCCATTTGACAGATGTATTTGCAATATGCATTGTGAATGTGTAGTAAGTATTTGCAAGTCGTCTTTATTTTAAAAGTTATAGAAAACTCAAATCAAATGTAATTTTAAATTAATTAAAAAAAATACTTTCAGTGCTTAGGAGAGAGTTTAAAATGTGTGCCACTTTCAGAAGAAGATTACCATGCTGCAGGATTTCAGGGTTCACTACCAGTATTAACTGCAAAGCCACCATATAAAACATGGTTTGCACAACATCCAGTTTTGGCATTTTTTTCTATATTCCTCATTCTCATTGTTTTAGGTTAGTTTTTGGTTATTTTCAATTATTATTGCTTATCTGCATAAATTATGAAAATTTTTAAGAATGCTCTTATTGCATATAGTCTCTGATAGTGTTTATTTCCAGTAACACATGATATTTTTTAAACACAGACCATATATTCTGAAAAATGAGAAACTAACCATGTAGGTCATTTTATAAGTTTTATTATTTTCTACCTAAATGACTAAATTAATTGGTAAGAGTTTGAAACTTTCTCGTGAGATAGCAGCCTCTGCTGCATGACTGTAAGATAGGAAAATCTGTTTAAAAAGTTTTATTGTTTTGGAATTTCAGCAAATATTATACATAATTTAATGTTACAGATCTGTAATATTTAATTATCTATAATATTTCCTGGGATCACAGCCATACACATACTCTTAACCCAATTCCAATGTCAGAACTTTTTTCAAAGGTTGTCATACATTCTGATTCTAAAGGTGCTCTTCTAGCCATTTTTTCTTTTGAATCATCAATGTCTGTTGATGCTTTAAAATGTAAGCAGTTTCTAAACAGCTTAGCTCAAGAAGGCAAAGAAGTTGCCATGAAATAGATACCATCACACAACTGCCTTTATGGAAATAAGACAGATTTTTTGGGCAAAGAAAAGAACCAATATTCTCCAAATAACTGACAACAACATCCCTTTTTACGCTGCTAAAAGAGTAATAAAAATTATGACAGAGAAGCCTTTTGGGAGAATGTTCCCCAAAAGAAACAGTCATAAAGCATGGATTAACATAATTTTTGACACTCCTTTATGGCCCAGAAAGAAATCTGTTGCTACCTTTTGTCTTGATACTGACCATGATTGCCTTTTAAAACATCTGTATCAAATGAACATTATTCCAACCCTAATTTGTAAACTGTGCAAACTTCATGAGGAAATGGATGCCTCACATCTGAGTTATAGCCCTGCACTTAATGCTGGATTACTCTGGAAGAGATATTAGGAGGCGACTCACAAAATAGGTTTGTAGATTATACTGTGGACTCTTCATTTAATTTTGCTGTTTTCTATTATCTTTTCTATCTACAGTTGTCTTTGTAATCTGCAATAAGAAATTAAAGCAATAATAATAATAATCTTTCCTGCAACATTTAGATCTGTAATGTATATTTGTAACATTTAGATAGTTCTAAATCTTCTGAAAAGTAGAAGTTTCAGTTAAATTTATATAAACTGAAAATACAGAGCTTTTATAAAAAAAAAAAATGAATGATTAAAGACTGCTGAGTACTAAAAGCTCCTCCTGGGTTCAAACCCAGGCAAATGGGCTGACTGCATGGTTGGTTTTCATGATTTTCTTCATGTGTAATGTGAATACGAGTCAGATTCATTTAGAACATCATCCATGAAAGCATCTTTCCCCTTTGAAAGATAATCCTCATATGCTTTGCCATATGCAGGATAACTAACTATTATCACTAATCAGGATAACTGATCATTTTAAATAATGTGTAATTTTGTATAATTCATTTATTGCCAGGAAGATGTCAGCTGTTAACATTCTTCCGAAGTCTTGTAAGATATCTTATATTAATTAACCGGTTATTATGATTTTAGTCTTTACTATAACTTCTTCTTTCTGTACTTACGGGAATGCAAATTTTGTGTGAGCTTAAGGTTCTCAAATTTTGAGACAGAGAATGTTTCTAGCATAATGTGCTAGCTATGTAGTTAGTTCCTGCCAGCTCTAATACTTGTAATTATTCAAATTTGCAGCCTTTTACTGCCAACACTTTAAATCTGACAAGCCATTAAAATTATTAAGCGAACTTCTTGTTGACTATTTAATTGTGTAGTCTTTGATTACTGTTCAAAGTTTAATTTAAAATTGTCTTTTCTGTTTATTTGTATCACCACGAGTTGTGATTATTTTAGCACCAGAGCATGCCTTTATGTTTTAAGTTCTGTTTAAATAAAAAGTTTATTACAACCTTTTTAAGATTTTGTTGTTTAGCCACCCAGGTGGTATTGTGGTTAGGGGAGTCTATTGCGGTACCAAAAGGCCCAGATTCGAATCCAGGAAAACCGTGGTTGTAACTGTCCAATCCTTCATAGTAGGCAACAATGACCACCTATTAGGTGCCTCCACAATTAAAATGGCTACCACTTCTGGCCTTATGTTGAATAAGCAAATGCCCATCATTGGATTAAAAAAAAAAAAATCTGAAAGCTTTCAGATTTTATATTATGCCCAAAGGAGCACTTTTTTTAACGTTTTGCCTGTTACCTTTATTTATTAAATATCATGTTCTTCGCACTTAAATCATAAAATTCAATTCAACAGCAATATCACAAAATACTTAAAAGAGCATATGTTTAGAATTTCCAATACATAGTCTCGCATGCTGGAAATTTTTTTTTTAACATTGTTATTGCTCACTTTGAAATATTTGAGTTTCTTAATCAAAAACTCATAACTGCGTTACAAAATATGAAATAGATAACAAAGCAAATTCAAAATTGGGTTTTCCAGATGCCCATATTAGTGTGGAGATATACATTATTCAAAATATGATGGCTCTAGGTACCGTTATTTTATCACAATGCAAGAAACATACATACATTTATGCAGAGTCTTCATTACAGTACAAAGTCCGTGATCTGGACGTCCATTATCCGAAATGATCTATAATCTGGACCTCAAAGCCACAAACGTTTTTTTTTTGTATGCTTTATGCAAGCACGTTTGATGTATAACGGACGGTATAAGCTAGGCTAAAATTATCTTTACTGATTCTAAGGCATTTCAGTTAATGTTGCAGATTGCGCTGCTCCTTAATCTTCTAATTGGATCCGGTTTATTATTTTTTTGCAGACTGTTAGAGCAATTTTATAAAAATTAAGCTTGAACTTTCGATTATGTCAAAAAGAGTTTCCAATTCTAGAGCTGCCAAAGGGTCTACAAAGCGGAAGCGTGTTTCCGCTTGTGGAATTGCTTCAAAAAATGGATAAAGGCATATCTGTCTCAAAATTATGTGAGGAGTATGACATTGGAAAGTCAACTGTTTATGACATAAGCAAAAAGAAAAAGGAACTTTTCGAATTTTTTGTGGTTTCTGAACCGCACTTGCAATGAATAAAAAAAAAAAAAAAGGGTTCGTTATGCTAAAAGTGACAATCATGACAAAGTTATGATTGAATGGGTCAGACAGCGTCACAGCAAGGGTATGCCATTGACGAGTCCAATGCTAATGACTCAAGCCAAAATGTTTCATGAAGAAATGAACTTAAACACTGAGTGCACATATTCGACAGGTTGGTTAACCAAATTTTAAAATCGCCATGGTGTAAGACAAAAATTTCAGGTGAAAAAGCTTCAGCTGATACTGAAGCTGCTGAACAATTTGCAGATGAATTCATTGAACTCATTACTATTGAACAATTATCTCCAGAAGAAATTTACAACGCTGATGAAACTGGTCTTTTCTGGCAATACAATGTACCGCCAAAATACCTTGGCAATCTCTACAGAAAAGGCTCCAACTGGTGTCAAAGATTCCAAAGAAAAAAATAAGTAAAGAAAATTTTATAATGTGAAAAAACTGGGCAGAGTACCTGATAAATGTGTTTAATATTTTTACCGGGGAACTTTTTCGGCGGATTCAAAGGGTAAAGACGTCGTGCTGGTCTCGTGCCTGCCACGATCCGACATCGATCTGCCTGATAAGATCTCCCTGTCTGACGCTATCTGTCTACGATCTCTGACTTACTGACTTCCTTTCACAATGAATGCTCAGTAGCCACCGCGTCTTGCCGGATTATGCCAGTGATTGCTGCGACTTTTTTATGCCAATGCTTATCTTAGATTGCGTTTTGCGGCGCGTTTATTATTTTTAATTTTGATTTGGTTGTTTGTCTATCTAGTTACCCCCAAGCTCACTTAGTTAGGAGTGAGTCAGGGGCCTGATAGATTTCCACCTGCCCATCCGTCTGCCGGAACGCCGTCGTGCGGGTCCGGTTCCGGGGCGCAGGCTCTTCCATTTGCTGGGGCGCAGGATTTATGGCTTCCATGCGTCATGATGGATGCGAATCAGACTATTGAGAAGTTGATCGAATTCTATAACATACAAATTAGAGAATTAGAAAAATCCAAACAATTAAATGGATCTTTCACAGCAATTGAAGAAAAATTTCATTCATTTCTCATTAGCTCGCTGGGTATGATTAAGATTCTCAATGAGGAGAATCTTAAAAAATGCCAAGAGCAAATTAATGTGCACCATAATCTTGATTCTTGTACTAACAATAATTCCCTTTCAGACAATGATAGAGGCCGCAGCCCTATCAAACTGCATGATAATTCTCCCAACAATACCGACGATGAAATCACCCTCGATAAGGATATATCTTCGGACGAAGATATCACTTGCAAACGCAGAGGAGACCAAACAATTAGGATCCGGAATTCGCACCTAGCTGCGAAAAAACTTAAATTAAGCATGAAGCAAAATTCTTCCCAACAAAAAGAAAGTAAAAATCAGGAAACACGTAATGCCACTAAAGAACAAACTAACGGCAACGCCACACAATCTTGTATAGAAACCATCAGTGAACAAGCGGACAATCCGCTCATGGATATTACCAATCAGGAAGAATCTACCATTAATTTAGAAAATCCATCGACTGAATCTCATAATAAAAATCAGGAAAACAAATCTAGCAAATTACCTCCCATCATACTTAAAGAGAATAAATACTCTTACAGTAAAATCAGGAATATTTTTAACCAGAAAAACTTCAAATTTATCGGCAATAGTATTCCTGATGGAATCAAAATCACCACCACAGATCCTGACACTTACAGGGCAATGGTTAAAATACTTAAAGATCTGGGGGTGGAACATCACTCCTACATTCTCCCCCAAGACAAAAAACTCAAAATAGTTATCAAATTAATTCCCCTAAGAGTACCGAAACTGAGGAATAAAAGAACTTGAAGAGCTTAATTTCCAACCCGAGGAAATTAAAC